ATCCATCCATCCATCCATCCATCCATCCATCCATCCATCCATCCATCCATCCATCCATCCATCCATCCATCCATATATAGATTTTTTTTCAAATAATGGGTTTGGACTATCCGTTCACTGAATTTCAATGTAAACCTATACACAAACATTTTCAAATGGCCATTTTATTACATTTGTGTCAGTGTGCTACGTTATGTGGCCCTCTGGTAGTGTCAATAAAAAAACTGCGTCCCTTTCCATTATTTAAGTTTTCCATCCCTGATCCAGCATTTATATAATGCAGGTAAATCAGATCAGTTTGTGCGATAATCTTTGTACCTCATTAAAGAGCAACTCTCTCCTTTGCTGCCGCCGCAGGTCCATCATCTTCACCGCCACTTGCCTTCCTGTGTGCTTTTCTGTGGCGATGCACACCACCCCTGTCGAGCCCTCCCCAATCTTAACAAAGTTCTCCAGGTAAGTCCGTGGATCGCCCTTGTCCACCACCATCTGCAGGGCAGCTTTGAACTGTTCGTGTGTCACCTTAGGCGGGTCCGGAGGTGGTCTGGGTACGGGATGCAGTGGGGGTCTAAAGGCAGGAGAACAAGTACCTGCAGGACTGGTGGCTAATGATCCCGTGGGAGAAGGTCGAGGTTGAGAGGGGCTGTCCTGACGGGGGTAAGGCTGGTTGGGGCATCCAGAGTGTCTGAGAAAGGGGTCTGGTCCACTGGGCCTCAGTCCCATGTTAGGAGACAGGCCTAGAGTGTAGCTTGCTGAGGAGCGCACCATCCGCTGAGGTCTAATTCCTCCCACGAGAGGACTGCTGGTGCCGGTTGGCAGGAAACCGGAGTGGTATCTCGCTGCCGACTCTGCCTGCATGATAACAGAAGAGAGAGARCTGAAAGGGGGTTGGCTGTCTGCCTGGGGTTCACGGCCCACTTAAAAACTGAACGTAAATCAAATCCCTTGTTCTCTATCACCTGATAGGACTCATGTTAAGATGCCTCAATGTGGTCTTAAGAGTCCCAAGGAGATCTTTGAAAATGCAACATTTACAACCTCCTCTTTAGCCCACATTTCATGTTTTAACACTAGACTTCAATAAAACACTTAAAGTCTCAACTTTAATCAAATTTAATGTGAAGCCTGTTAATATTTTTTGCCTCACCTGAGATCCACAACCTAAGCAAGTCTGCTTAGCCTAAAAAAAACTATTTAATGCATTGGGAACCCATGCGTAACATGCTGAGTACTAAAATAATGACACAAGCTGCATTAAAAATATGCATATATTATGTAATTCATGAATTATTTATAATCTGTAAAAAAATGTGCTTACTTTTAAGTCATAGGAAGAGAACGGCCTTCCCGGGCTGTTCTGAGTGTGCATGAACATGGGCAGGTTGGGTCGGAGCTCCCCGGTGAGCGCTCCTTGATCCCCATGAAGCTGCTGAAGAGCCACAGCCGGACTGTAAAAACACGCCACGGGTCTCTGACCTGGCGGCATTCCTCTGGGCAGCTGGAAGTCTCGTTTCCATATCACTCTCTCCTGAGGACTTCCCAGTTCCCCGCCTATGTACGCCCCGTGGCTCGGTGCCGGGACGCTCTGAGGCGGAAGAGGGTGCGAGGGTCCTTCTATGCAGCCGACGCCGACTTCGTACGTTGATTTGGCCTTTGGCAAGATCCCGTTGGGCTGCAGAGTGATGCTCTTCTTCATTCCCAGGTACGGGGTGTTGGTCTCACTGTGGATGTTCCTGGCCTTGTCCCGCCAGTGTTCCTGACCTGCATCGTCCTCATCGTCATCGTCCTGTGTCAGTCCCTCGTACTGGTAGCCATCGCCTTCGTTCACTTCGCCCAACCTTCCCAGGGACTGGGCCCTCTTCCTGGCAGAGGGGCTGGTCTTGCGCAGAGAGTTGGAGCTGGTCACGGACAGGCGGCTCATGTCGTTGATCATGGCCGCGATGTATTCTCCGTGACCGATCATGCTCCCGCGCACGATGGTCTGAAAGGAAAGAGGCGTTTGTCACGGTCTGCACGGCATGAGAGATTCTCTTGACGAGTAAAAGCAGTGTTGTATAAAGTACCTCCAAGAGATACTTGAGTAAAAGTACAAGTATCTTATCATAAAAATACTTTGGTAA